CCCGGTTTTGGTTCCAAATTGGCAACCCAAGTGGCAATCTCCTGACTAATCTGTCCTTCACTAAACCATTTCTGTCCCCAAATTTTAACTTTATCAAAATGCTCAATGGTGGGGTCCTGGTTAAGCTTAGTATAATGGAGATCATTGTTAAGCTGCCTTAACATCTTATCTTGGTACTCATTATGGGAAATAATAATAAATCTAGATCCCTTATCTTGAATTCTAAATACATTGTCACTAGCTTTAAGTTTACCTAGGGATGATCTCTCCTCCCTCGTCAGGTTGTCCTTGGCTTTTCTTAAGTTCTTAGGTTCGAAAATGTCCTTCTTAACGTTGTTTAAGAAAAGTTCAACCTCAGGGAAACTCGACTTTGGAGGCATCCAATCACTTGTGGATGGAATTGTTGGGAAACGGTTATCAGCTGGGTGATTGTTTTCGTCTGGATTTCTGCCGTGATGGTATACAGCAAGTCGAATTCGTCTGTCAAAATTATCGAGGTCATCAATGGTTTTCTGCCAGTTGACATCCATCCATCGAGTACATCAATTCCCTCTATCCCACTATCAAATTTGAGCTGGTGTACTCTGAGCACACCCTCAATGTCCTGGATCTCACACTGCACCTTCAATACGGGTTCATAATTATTGATATTTATGCGAAGCCTACAGATAGCCATCTTTATTTACCCTTTTCCAGTTCGCACCCGGCACACTGTAAAAGGGCAATTCTCTACGGAGTTGCTTTACGCATTAGACGTAATTGTTCTACGGACGAGTCCCTTTACAGGAGATGTATTGAATATAAAGGGTATCTTAAATCCCAGGGTTATAATGCAGATTTGGTAGACAATCAATTCGACAGAGCGTTGAGAATTGAAAAATCATTACTCCTCAAGAAAAATGTCAAGTCCAACAAAAAAGTATTTCCGTTAGTCCTCGACTACAGTCCTATCCTCCCTGATATTCAGAGGGTTATCCAAAAGCATGCTCATCTCTTAAGATCATCACCTTAGTTATTGGAAATTTTTCCATCAAAATCCATTTTTCCAGCATATCGCCGTACCAAAAACCTCAAAGACATTTTGGCGCCTTCTAGATTTTGTATGGGTGGGAAAGTTAGTCAGGCAGAGAAGGAAACGGGAGG